AGCCAATTGTGACAACTTCAGTTTCCCTTTCCCACTGAATTTTTCAGCTGGAGACAGTGGCCAAGGGATGGTGGTGGGCAAATTTAAAGGATGAGAATTTAAAAGCCCATGCGTTCTGCCTTCCTGGGGACGTTTTTCTAACAAGGCCTGGCCCTGCTGCTCCTTGCATGACCGGATGGCATGATCAGAGGGGATTCCTCACAAAGCATAAGAGATACTGCCCCAAGCGAAAGGACACCTCCTGCGAATGAGACCTGGGTGAAGCCTGGCTAAGGGCTTCCTCTCTCTTCTTCTCTTCTCCCCCAGAAAGCTCCTCTCCTCTCCTGCTGGGTGATACGAAAGCCAATCCCAGCTTCTCAGCACGCCCCGCATCCCCGGGGAGAGAAAGAGTTTCATTAAATCCTGACAAACAGGAATGAATTACGCTCACTTGCCTCTGGCAGCAGCTCGGCCTTCTTTCTCATCGGTTGCCCACTGGGATCCCAACGCTTCTTGCCAGATCAAATCCACAGCCTGAGAAGAGGCAGGGTGTGGGACCAACTTGGATTTCTCCCAGGCTGGCCAGAGAACCTCTCTCACCTGCTGCTGCTCGGAAGTACAATCTGCTCACAGGCAGAGAGGAAAGGGAGAAGGAAGGACAGCAGGGCGGGCCATACCGGGGTGAAGGCGTCCCCTTTTATTTGTCCCCTGTGTCAGTTCACCGCCTCTCTCCCCAACCTTATACTGTACAGTAGTACCTTGGGTTAAGTACATAATTTGTTCCGGAGGTCCGTACTTAACCTGAAACTGTCCTTAACCTGAAGCACCACTTTAGCTAATGGGGCCTCCCGCTGCTGCCATGCCGCCGGAGCACAATTTCTGTTCTCATCCTGAAGCAAAGTTCTTAACCTGAAGTACTATTTCTGGGTTAGCAGAGTCTGTAACCTGAAGCGTATGTAACCTGAAGCGTATGTAACCCGAGGTACCACTGTATACAACATCAATGTCTCCCACTGAATGTAACTGATCAGTGGGAAAGATTCTACGACCTGATAATAGAGACAAGGCACATACTTTGGTAACCCAATAAAATATTTAATAAAAATTATTTATTAAACAAAAAACAGCACGGTGCGGGGAGGGGAGATGGTGAAAGAGCGGGACCTTCTGTCACCCGCTTTGACCCTGCACTGCCATTTCCCCCTCCTAATGGCGGAAACTATGCTTTTCAAAGCTGACTGGCAGACAAAAACGCAGCAGGTGGTGTTTAATTAATTAATTGGCTTTTCTTTTTCTTTTGGGTGGTGGTGGGGGGGGGGGGTTGATGCCGCCCTTCTTCCTGAAGGAGCCCAGGGCACCGCTCAGAAAATATAACCATTTATACACAGTAGGTGAAACAGCTACAAAACGAAATCATTTGCACAGCACAAGACCGCTTGATTCAGGGTAGGCACAGAATTAATATTCGGGGGGGCGGGAGAGAGGGGGAGGAGTAGGAAAAGGAGCTTTACCAGTTGAACTTTTGCTTGCCATGTAGCTGTTCATGGCACACAGAACTTCTGTCAGGGGAACAAAATGGATGGCGATCCTATTTGCAGACCCAAGAAGAAACCCTCCAATTTGCAAGACTCCCTGCCCTGAAATGGTTAGAAAAAAAGATAGGACTTGGGAGACCATTGGCCGGATGTCCTAATTCCCCCCCCCCCCCATGCTTCTTCCCTGCTCAAACAGCACCTCAAAGGTGCTATTAGCCAGAGGCAGGTGGTGGGTGCGAATCCAGTGCTTCCTTAGAAGGAAAAATTGCTGCGGGGAGGGAGGGGGATATAGAACAGTACAGGCTGGGGGATCTTAAGCACCACTGTTCCCAGCAAAACCAGAGACCCTTGTTGCTTTATTAAAGCAAAGCAAATAGGTCAAGGAATCTAATCACAGCTCTCTCACATCACTTCTGCCTTGACAGTGCAATTCTGAAAAAGTAAACAAAGGGACAGATTCACCATGTGCCCAGTCGCAGAGTCCCCCGCCCAGCACGCCTGACTACAAAAGGGGTGGGTGGGTAAATGAATGGACAAGGATTAAAAAGGCCCCAACTTTATTGATTTCAGATGTAGGAAGCCTTGGCAAAGGCACTGGGCATGTATCCCTCTCAGTGTCCCCCCCCATGGGGAACTGAGGAATTACATGGTCTATTCAGGAGTGGATCCATTGCAAAACGCAGATTTAGGATCACCTCCAAACAGTGAGGGAAGCCCTATGGCCCACTAGGCCCTACGCAACTGGCACTTTGGACAAAGACTTCCCTCCTGACCCCTCTAACGGGGTAGCCTGTTATCGCCGCCGCAGGAAACAGGGGGTGGGTGGGTCGCCAATTCACCACACCCCAATCGGATGAAAGGCTATAGGATTCCGCCCAAAGGCCGAAACCGCCAAAGTCATGACAAGTGCGAAACCTGCAGTGCAGGGGAAATTCCTTCCCGGCCCCGAAAATGGCGACCGTCCGCAGACCACAACAAAACCCTCCTGGTTGAAAAAGAAACGGTTAATGTAGCAAGCAAATATGAAGGGAGGGAATGGGAGGGGGACGCTCCTGGCCGACTGAGGAGCGCAGGGTTGGCTGGGCTATATTGTTGGCAGGAGGACCTGAGGGAAGCCTACCTCGTCCAGGTCTGCCCGCCTAGGCCACACCTCCCCCCGGGCTGACCGCGGATTGGCTCAATTTGAATCGGGGTTTAGCGGGAACCCCGTGAGCCTTCGCGACATTGTGGACAAATCCAGACTTCTAACACTCTTTATTAGACCCCACTATTCTTATTCCCAGACTGGCAGACTAATCTCTAAAAGCATCCAAATAATTTAATTTCGTTCCCTCCTTCCCAATCTGTTTCCCCTTTTGTCTCCTCCTGACTTTTAAATTGTAAGCCTAAAGGCAGGGATTGACTTACCATTGATCTTTATAAGCCGCTCTGGGAGCTTTTTCCCCACTCAACAGCGGGGTAAAAATGCTTCAAAGGAGCAATAAATTATAGCCCACTCTTCCTCCGAGAAGCTCAAAGGGCTGTGCATGGTCTCACTTTATCTCCGAGGCAACCCTGGGAAGCTGGTTGGTTCTGAGAGGGATAGAGAATCGTTTCCCCAAGACCAAAATGGGAGTTGAATTTGAACTTCCTACATCTGGGGGGTGGGGGAGGAAAATAGCTCAGGGTCAAAATGTGGCTCTCCAGACCTTTCCTTCTGGGCCTTGAGATGATCCCTATCCTACATCTTTTGCCAATACTAGATTCTACCTTCCTTGAGTAATTCTGCCTGGCAGAAAGATTACCAATGAGAAGGAAAAATAACCACTTGATCCTTAGAAGCCCAGTGCACAAGATTCAACTTTCCAAACGGAAATACACAGAAACTCAGTTGCTCCTTTTGTTTTCGCATCATACAAGCGACTATGGCAAAAGGACATATCTGGAACGCAAGCTCCCGGTTTTGTGCAAGATTTTCGAGAAACCCATAATGACCATAACAAGATGCAAAGGCTTCTGCCGCTTGGCTCAAGCTATCCATCCTCACACATCCCTGACCCAGGCAGCATGTGATGTTTGGTTATTGTTGTTTAATAATAATAAAAAATCAGCTTCTTGGCTTTGTTTCAGACTTGTGTTTTTGCTCAGGGGAAGGGAGGACAAAGTACAAACTACAACAGCAGCTACAGGGTCAACTGTTTGAGTGTGGAAAACGAGATAAGAGTAACAGCAGGCATGAAGCGCAAGCAACTGGGCGTGTGACAAAAGTTTAGACTGGGTTTTTGAAAACCGCTCTTACTGCTCATGGCTTCTCCCAAAGACTTCTGGGAACTGTAGTTTGGTGAGGGGCTCTGTTGGCAACCCCTTGCCTTATAGGCTTACCTGGTCAGGAGCATCCCAAACCTGAGACCTTGGGGCAGGCCTTGGCGATGTTCCTGGAGCAAGTATCACAGACTGAGGTAAATTGGGAGAGGGGAGCAGAGGCAGGCAGACCCCACAGAGTGTCTATGGTATAATTTGCAGCCAGCTCCTGCCAGGCTGACACTTGCAAGCAAATTATTATTATTATTATTATTATTATTATTATTATTATTATCATCATCATCATTATTGGCAGCCTTGTCCTCCTGGCTATTCAAGCCCTCTACCTGCTCCCAGGAGTGGGCCAGGCAAACCAGGAGACTTCAGGACAGATCTGGAGGCCTGGCAACACTATTACCTTCCTTCCTACCACCTTCATATAATTGCAATTCCCAGAACCTGAGAAAAGGGGACAACAATTAGACCGGTAGCATCCACAGTGGAAATACATCCCTCTTGAGTGGCCGTTTGCCACAAGCTTGCCACAGACGTTTCACTCACAGACAGGTTTTCATCGCTCTCAGAGGTTTTGCAAGAGCTGCGCAAGAGGACTGAGGAAACAGAGCTCTCTAAATACAGCCTCTGAGAAATGCAGAGGGGCATTTGTGTATGGGGGGAGGGAGCAAGGCTGTGGCCCTGGAGAAAAAGAACGGCTAATACCATTGTAGATTTGCTTGTGCAGTTGCCTTCCGGACAGGCACCTGCTCTGCTTGTGGAACAATGTGGAACCCAGGATAGATCATTCCGCTCAGCCCTTCCTAGATCATCTGCCTCAATCCAGACCACAGTACACTTCCAAGCAGAGAGACAGGTGCATCTCATAAGTGCTGCCTGCCCAGAAGCCTGCTCTATTCAACTAAGACAGACAGACAAGACAAACCAAACCACGAACAACAAAAGGATGCAATGAAACCCACAGGGGTTGTTCTCTAGTAATCGGACTAAGAGAGAAAAAGTTTCCTCTCTGATCCCTGTAGGGTTATCAGTCATCTTCCCAGCATGAGCAGAACCGCATCTACTCATAAATCTCAAAGCAAATATTTCACAGAGATAAAACTCCATACTACCAAACACAGAGACGCACAAAATTGTAGAGCTGGAGGAGACCACAAGGATCATCTCCTCCAGCCCCCTGCAGTGTAGGAATCTTTTACAAAAAATGGGGCTTGAACCCACAACTTTGAGATTAAGAGTCTCATGCTCTAACAACTAAGCAAGGAAAACCAGTTCTGCACACTTGGGTTAGAAGCTGCCAGTGCACAGCACTGATTGGATAGAATCTGTGTCATCAAAATCTCCAATTCCCACTTCCTCAGACAAGTCTTCCATCCCTTCTAAAAAAAGGGGGACAGTTTTAAAACATATGCATGTGTTTGTATTGAATGTGCACGCAGTTTAAAAATAAAAGAAGGCAGCCAGGCTGCTTGAAACATGGTGAAACAGAGGTGCAAGACAGACTACTAAATCAACATTCAAACTTCTGACCATGATGTCTGCCACATGCATATTTTTTGTGGGATGCTGGTGGTCAGAGGAAGCCAGACTAATCCTGAGGAAGGACAATCCCTTTTTACATAACCTACAGAGAGAAATGCCAGAGCTCAAATCTATTGGGTGGCAATAACCTTTGACCTTCCCCCTAAATTCAGATGCATGAGGACAAACTGTGGCTCATCTACAGCCATGGAAAGGCCTGGTGAACAGCCCAGATCACTTCTGGTGAAGCTAACTGCATGAGGCCTGATCAGCATCCGGTTAGGAGACCACAGAAAACCAAGTGGCACATATGCACATGCCTCCCTTCAGGGGCAGATAGGTGTGGGTTTGTCCTGCTTTGGAGAGAGCTCTGCTTCCCTTGCTTTCATTCCTCCAATGACAAATGCACCAGGCTCTGAATTGAGAGCTAATTTTTGCCCTTCTGTCTGTGTTTAACATTATCAAATGCCTGGCATGTCAATCCAGCTAAACCTTTATGCTCTTGTTTTCTTTTAGCTAATCCATTTTTTCCTAAACTTGAAACAATGCTCTTGGAAGCAGGAGGGAGGCAGAAGTGGCTTTGTGAGTGTCACTAAGCAGCCAGCCAAAAAGTGCAGCTGGTTTCACCTGGGAACAGAAAGAAGTGATTCCAAGCTCAATTCTCTAAGGAAGGTTGCATGTTTCGCAAAAGAGAAATGGGGTAACGCAAATCCACCACTCAAACAATCTGTATCTGTACACAAGCTAAGATGCACTATCCATTCTTAAGGGGTAGAAGTATGCGAAGCAACAACAAGGCACTCTTCGCATGCTCAAAGTGTACTCTTGGCTTCATTCGGATTCATAAATCCCAGCGCCTAGGTCTGGGGCTTAGCCTTGGTGTGAACTCTCCCTCCATGGTAAGCCTCTGAATAAATTCCAGTCTCTCCTTGATCCATCCACAAGCTCCCTGTTGTTCTTCAACACAGGGGAGGTGGGGAGAGCAATGAATGTCAACATTACACTTCTGTAAAACAAGAAAATCCTTAATAAAATATTTAAAAAAAAAGAACTTAAAAAAAAAAAACATTAAGAGCAATGTGGACCAAAAGAAAGCACAGCATGAGAAAACCTGCCCGTTTCCCCTGATTTCTCCTCCTTCCCAGATAGTTCCCATTTTGCCCATTCCTTCCCAGAAGGGGAATTCCACCCGGATGGCATGGAAGGCAAGGAATCCCGACTCTGCTATGAAACCCCAATGAATAATTTAGGGGGAAATCAATGGGCTGGAAGTGTAAGGAAAGAGAGAAGAGACTGCAAGGGAAAGTGGGACAGGCGTCTAAAAGCAAAGTCCCCCAAATTCCTCCCTCCCCTGCTATCACTCCTCTGCTCCTCCCTCGCCCCCCACAGTTCACTGAGCAAAATGAGAAGATCCTTCTTTCGCTCGTTCTGATCATGGCTGGGACATTCCCTGTTGTTTCTCCCCAGGAGAAACCCAGCTGGATTAAGGATCATTAAAGATTGATGGTTACAAAAAGCCAACTGGGCACTCGGAGAGGCTGCCTTTTAATCTGGCTGGCTCTGTACACAGGCGTTTGGTGGAGCATGCAGCGCCCCAGGACCCCTTTGATTATCGGGGAGGGAAGCAAGGAATGAGAGGGCAGGGCGGCTGCACATCCCGCTGCTCCTGCAAAAACCCCTACTGTGCTGGGGACCTCCTGGGAGCCCAACTAGACGTGATGGAGGGGCTGCCCTGTTTGTTTATACGTGTCTGCACTGTTCAGATGTGAGGCAAGGGGAAAGCGCCTGCAGAGATGGAACACAGCAGGGTAAGTAGGAGGAGGAGAGGTTCGGCTCAACAATGCACACATTTTTATGTTGTAAAAATTAAAGACTGCAAATCACCCCCTGCTTTGCACGTAAGCAGGGCGGAAACACATACCAACAAACATGGCTGCTGTGCGACACAACAAGCCCATGGATGACCCAACCAAATCTAGTTTGACCAGGACAAGGGGCTTCCATAAAAGAGCTTGCCCAAGGCCCCCACCCACCAGAAGGGCCCATGGCTTGACATCTGACCTCAGCTGCCCCACTTTAAACCCCCCCCCAAGTGTTTTGTGCCAGCGAGCTACCATTTTAGTTCCCCACAAGGCCTCCAGTGTAGCTTAGCGTCAGGGCATTGTGGGAAATTAAAATGGCAGCAGAAGAGCGTCATCAGGACTTTCCCCTTTCCCTCCTCTTCCCCTCAGCAAACAGTGAGAGCCAGAATAGTGTGGTGGTGAGAGTGCTGGACTGGGACGTGGGAAACCAGGGTTCAAATCCCCATCCAGCCATTTAGCTCACTGGGTGACCTTGGAGTCAATCACTGTCTCTGAGCCTAGCCTACCTTTGCAGGCTTGTGGTGAAGAGGCGGAAAACCAAGACAGCCACCTTGAGCTCCTTGGAGGAAAGGTGGGATAGAAATGAGATAATGAATAAATAGCCAACAGGGATCACAGAGCAAGGAGGAAGGTGTGCTGAACAAAGAGAGAAAGGTCCTACAAAGGCTCACAGTTGCCTACCTATTCCCAAGGCCCCCTGGTCAAAGAGATCTCATTTAACAGGCAAGGTAAGAGGGAGAATACAATACAGTCATACCTCGCGTTACAGACACTTCAGGTTGCTTTTTTTGGGTTACGGACTGCTGAAACCCGGAAGTACCGGAACGGGTTACTTCTGGGTTTTGGCAATCACGCTTTCCACATGCGCAGAAGCGCCGAATCGCAACCCGTGTACGCAGACATGGGTTGTGAACGCTGTGGGTTGCGAACCTGGATCCCACAAGGATCACATTTGCAACCCGAGCGTCCACTGTAGTCGCAAGTCTGCATCACCACTTCCTGTCTTTGCCTACAGGACACGTTTCAAGTCTCAGCTCCCAGCCTCTCCTCCTGCCCTTGTACCGAGTGTCCGACACCACACACTTATTTACAACTTACTAGACTTGGTGGAATTTTCACATTTGTCTCCCTTTGGGGAAGTTGGGAGAATGCCACCAGTGCAAAGGATTCTGGGACTCCTCCAGGCACCTAGTTTTAATAGGAAGCTGGCCTGTTGAGTCTCATCACTGCCCACTGCAGCAAAGAATAATTCACCATACGTTGGGTAGTAAACCTGTGGCTCCCCGATGGTGCTGGACAGACCCAGTCAGCATGGCCAATAATCAGGGGTGATGGGGGCTGCAGTCCCTGCAAGAAAACATACCCAAACACTTCCCTGACGCCGCATATTACAGGGGAGGAGTGGCATTGATGGACAAGCTGAATCTCAGAGAAGATTTCCGGCTTCCTCTTTCTCTGTGCATCAAGAGCGCTGCTGGGTCAGGTCAATGGTCTGCCTATGGAAATCTTTCAAGCCAGGCTTGAAGGCCATGACCCTCTGCTGTCACAGTTGCTGTAGATGAATAGCATACAGAGACACTGTGGCTCTGTAAACACTGTAGCTGTACATTCAAAGCACACTCTCTTCCTCAAGGAATTCTGGGCACTGTGGTTTGCTAAGGGCTGCTGGGAATGCTAACTCTGTGAGGGATAAACTACAGTGCCCAGAATTCTTTGAGGGGGGGGGACTGAATATGAAAGGACCTACTTGGAGGCTGTTCCAAACTTGTGGAACTCCCTTCCATGGAAACCTAGGTTGTGCCATTTTTTGTTTACCTTTTGCCAGCAGGCATATTTTTTCTTTGTTCTGACAGGTTTTGTTCAGCCATAAACTGGCTGTTGTGGCAGTGTCTTTTAAGGGTGGGTGATTTGTAAATGGCTTTCAGCGCAGGTTTTAATAAGGGTGTGTGTGTGTGTAATATTTTCTGTTTTTAGTTGTGTTTGTTTTCATTAGTGCTATAAGCTGCCTTGAGCCCTGCAGTGGGAGAAAAGCATGATATACATTAAATAAATAAATACCACCCATAGTGCGGGAAACAAGCCTTTCAGTAGGCTTGTTACCTAATAAAACAGACATATTGGTTTCCTTCCCACTTGTCCCCTGCTCCAAAACTTTCACTTACTGAGCCCCACCCACCAGGTTGCCAAACACTTCACTGAAAGGTGAAGACCCGCTACCCACTCAAAAGGCAGAAATAGAACACAAAGTCCTCCCAGTTCCTTCCCAATCACTTCCCTTTCAAAAGCCAAGGAGAGAACCTGGCAAAACACATTAGGGGTTCACCTTTCTAACCACAGGACCCCACTTCGCTTCCCAAGATGGAAGAAGAATTCAGAACCAGAGCATTTGCTTTGCATCAATCCCTGGTGGCATATCCAGGAGGGAATGGGAGAGACCCGTTTGAAATCCGCTACCAGTCAGTGTAGATGATATAGTCAATGGCCTGACTCTGTACAAAGCAGCCACCTCTGTACCCAAGTGGCCTCATACGCTTATTTTCTGCAAACATCAGAACCATCTCTCCTCTTCCTGAAATCAAAGCCTAATTTTCTGGCAATGCAACTCCAAGCTTGAAAATTATTTTCCCTTGTTCCTGTTGGACTGATAGTCTGAACAGGACTGCAGGGGACTAAGAGGGCTTTAGAAACAAAAAGATTCTGGGGAAGTTTAAGGGGAGGGGGAATCACAAACCGGGTAGACAAAGGCTGCAGAGGCAGGAACAATTAGACTTCTGCTGGTTTAAAAGGAACAGAAGGAACAAACGCAAAGGCGCACATGAGGCAGAGAACCCCTGCAGGAAGGCGGGGGCAGTTGTCACTGCTCTCAAGCAACAATCTACCCCTCTC